AAGCCCAACTCAACTAACAATTTAGGACAGTTGACCATTCCACCTGCTCTGCATCACTCAATCCACATGGATTAACCCCAGTGTTGCACACCCCCACTGGGCAGATTTAATTAGGCAGAAAAACTGACCTGGAGCCTCCAGGGACCTGGAGCCTGGATGCCAGCCAGGGATCCCGAGTGGCCAGCCCATGCCCTGGTGCCATCAACTTTGCCCCACCTCAATGTGCACGGAAGGGACCCAGTCCAACCTACACTTGATTCACGAAGAAATAGGCCTGGGAAGGGCAGGTGATTTGCCAAGGGCCCACAGCAAGTGAATGGCCAGACCAGAATGTTGGTCCTAACACCACAATACAAATCCTCTCCTTGTTCCTGAGATGCCAAGAACACAGATGCCCACAACAAGCCCCTGAACAGCTCCGAAAGGCAGGAATCTCTTAGTGAAGATGACTGGGGCATAAATAATTCATGAATGAGAATCGTCACACATCTTGGTCATTTTAATAGATAGTAAATTGTCATTCTTGATTTATGGTTTCAGGGGCGGGGTAATGATAAAAATAACTTGGGGATTTAGAAGATGTCTTCTTAAGTCAACAGATCGTTAGTGGGTTTGTCAGACTTTACAAAGCCAACTGCCTCACCATCCTGGTTACCATAGAAATGAGATGCCTCGCTCTGTTGCCATAGCTACCACTTTCTAGAACACAATTGGTGGGTCTCTCATGGTTTGTGATTTGGTTCTTGGGAGAGAAAAATAAAAGACAACAGAAACTACAGCTTGAGTTTATCCTGCATTGCAGCCACATCTTGGCTACATTGTCTTGAAATTTCAGAGTGGCCACTCAGGAGTACAAACTGGATGACAACTACCCTGTCACCCAGGACAAAAGCCCCTACCCTGGCAAAAACCCTCTGTGTCTCAGGCTGGCCTGGATTCTAGGTGTGGCAGGCTCAGCTACTGCAAGGGTGGAGATAGGAGACATGTCTGGCAGGTGACAGGAGGCCTGCAGATGATGGGCAGGGCCCAGAGGCAGCACAATGCAGGAGCTGGCACACCTGGTCAAGCAGGCTGAGTGTCTCCAACGAGGCTGCGGAGGCTGAGGCAAGGCAGGCTGGAACTGCTGTACTGAGGGAGATGCAGACTCTGAGTCAGTCGCCAGCCAGTGGGAGTGGGGTGGCCAGCGGGACAGACAGGAAGCTGTCGGGGGCAGGGGCAGGGAGCCGGCTGGAAAGCAATGCCCGTAATATGTGTGTGCTGAGTGTGCATGTCTTGGGGTGCAGTGCTATGTCTCAGGGAATTCTGTGGGAGTTCCTGGCCTTCTGTGGATGTGTGGCTATGACACTGCTGGAGTGTGCCTGTGTGTGCAATACCCATGCTTAGGTAACAGACGAGGCATTTTCATAGATGCTGTTCTATGAGTCTGTCACCAGGGTCATGGCTTCTTGCCACTGAATGGCAGGGGGATTGGAAGGCAGAGCTTCAGTCCTTGCCTGTGACCTGGCCCTGGTGGTAGCAGCCCAGAGTTGCTGCAGTGGCTGTTCAAGGCTTGCTGCCTTTGACCTCCTAGCAGAGGTTCCTTTTCTGCCTGGTCTACTGATCCAGCATCCCTCTCCCCTCACTCACGCCCTCCCTCTATCTGAGCAGGTGGCCAAGGCTGCAGTCGTCAGCAGCTGCCTGAGCAAAGCTGGAGATAGGGTGGGCAGCATCCCTGCTCTAGTGGCTACTCTTGCCTCAGTGCTGACAAGTCCTGGGCAATCCAGTGCCCCCGCTCCCCATCACTGGGGTTGGACATACCTACCCTTACTGCTTTCTGGGCTATAGGTGATGCACTCCAGGACACAATCATTCAGATGCAGCCACGCCCTCTGCCCTGTGAGCAAGGCTGTGATTTCAGCTTCCAGAGCTTTGGTGATACAGTGGTGAAGTGTCGGTTCTAGACCTGAGTGGTCTTGGGTCCCCTTCTCAGCTTCCTCACTAGCTATTTGACTTTAGCCTGATCCCTGCATCCATCTGCCTCTGGATTTCCTTTAGGACACAGTGGGGACATGACCACCTGTCTTTGCCAGGCTGCTGCAAGAGGTAACGGCCCTTAGTAGGTCCCCAAGCTTTGGAAGCTTTTCTCCTTTCTGTGTTCAGCTAGCCCTGGCAGAGAGCTGGACCCTTAGGTGAACTCCTGCTGGTCTCTTGGCTTAGGAGAATTTCAGGGTGTAAGCAAGCTCCTTTAAGGGCCCTCCATGGGTCCCTTGTGCCTGGCCATTGCTGAGGCTCTGCTTGTGACAGCAGTGGAGGCTGAGAAGGCAGGCACTCGGCCTATCTATAAGAGGAGGCCCAGCTTCTGCCCCACCTGTCCCCACGTCTTAGCTTCTGGCTCTAGACCTGGCTTTTGCTATCTGTTCTCCATCCCTCACTTCATGGCCCTGGGGCCAAGACAGGAAAGAACCTTGAAGGTTGCCCATTGGCTCTTGATAACCCTAATCTTAGAAGGCCTAGCTTCTTTCTGGGCCTTTCAGAAAGGAGTTTCCCCATGAGGATTTGCATTGTGACAGGGACAAGTGAAATGAGAGCTCAGAGGGCCTGGAGCTTCATAAGGGAGTTAGGAGACTCCCTGAATGCCAGCAGCCTGTGTGGCTATTCCCATGGGCCAACCCCACACTAATGAGCCAAAGCTGGAGACAGATTTGTAGCCTCCCTGGAGGTGGATATAGAAACTCCTTGGTGGTGGTTGTGAAGTACCTACATTTGCTGCCTCCTGGGGGCTCCACAGCTGCCAAGTGGAGCCTCACCCCAAGGGAAGACTAGTTAGTGGGGCAGTGCAAGATGAAAGAGATTTTTCCAGACACAATGGACAGTGAGATTCTCAAGTAGAAGGAACAGCAGATGCAAAGCCATGGAGACGGGGAGACTGTGGTCAGAGAGGCAGTATTGTCTGCAGTAGGAATGTTGGGTTGTGTAGGGAGGGGACCCTGAGAAGTCAACTGAGGCCAGGGAATATTGAATCCCGTGTGCCAGGCTGAGAGGTTGGGCTTTTGCTCTTTGGGCAGCATGGACAGAGGTAGGGCTGGAATTTCCAAGGGTGTCTCCCTCTGGCAGCTGTGTGGAGGACAGGCTAATAGTAGAGACTGAAGCCTAAGGCTTGCTCTGATAGCCATGGCCCAGCAGAGGAGGGTGGATGTGAGAGTTTGGGGAGGATGTTTCCTGGCTGATGGGACAGAATGATTGAAAGCCCTAATGTGCAGGGGACTCGACCTCTTGGTGTCCCTGAGCCATTCACAATGTGTGTATTCCTCTCCTCTCGTATAAAGTCCAAGGCACTGGGCATGACTGGGGGTGACATGACCTGCCTTTGGGAGGCCTGGGCGGTAAATGCCAAGTTCCAGGATGAGGCTCCCCAGAAAGAACCAGCGGCCAGATAACTAGAAAGCAGCTCTGGTGACCCTGGCAATGGGAAGAGCTCTGTAGCAAGGCAAGCTAGAGTCACAGGTGGTGGCCTCTTGCAATTTTTCCGTCCTTACTCTCCCAGGCTTCCTCTGTGGTACCCTCGCTCTGAGCTCTGTGGATCCTGAAACAAAAGCTTTCTGGGGGTGGAAGGCCTGGTGTGAAGCATCTTCTGTGCCTCTCTTGTGGGCACACAAATCACTTTCACTTTTTTCCAACTTCACTATTTTTATTCATAGGGCTGAGGGAGCTCATCTTTTTGGTCCATCACACTGTATTTGTCTCTGTATGTGTCCTCCCTTAACTAAGCAGGGCCGGCCTCCCTGAGACTGGGTTAGCTCTGTGCTAGCATAACATGGTGCCTAGTGAGGAATGGAAGTAAGAGAGTAGATATGTGTGATCCACTGGGTGGCTGGGTAGAAGAGCAAGGGAAGAAAGAGTGGAAGAAAAAGGAGAAGGGGATAAGCCATGGGGGGAAAGAGGGGAGAAGAATAAAAGGTAGAATATACAGAATAAAGGAAGGGAGAAGGAACAAGAAAAGATGAAATGTGAAAGGATGTGTGGATGGACAGAAGGAAGGCAGGAAGGGAGAGAAGGAAGGAGGAGTAGATGGACAGATGTGTGAATGGGGCTGTGGAGGAATGGATGGATGGAAGGGAGAGCAGGAGGAGGGAGGGAAGGAGGAGAATGAATGGACAGAGTGAGGCGTGGGTGACTGGAAAGGGTGATGCACCCGGTGACACCTGAATGCAGCCCATGGTAAAATTCTCTCAAACCCACACGGAGCTCCAAGGCCAGCAGGGCTGTCGCTGCCCTGTGCCTGGAGACTGGCAGCTTTCTACCCATTTCTGGACCTCAAGCTTCCCCTCCCAGCAGTGGGGGGGTCCTGGCCTGGATCACTCCTGAAAGGCTGTCACTCTTCAACGCTGACTCTGTCCCTTTCCTCAACCAAAAATGTGGTTTCAAAGATCCCTGCAAAGTCTGGTGCTGGCCATTGCCTACCCAGAGAGGGCTGTGGTGGAACATCCATGGCACGCCCCCACTCCTCCTGGGCCTGGGCAAGGAAGGGGCTTGAGCACCTAGGAAGTTCCTGGAGGCAGGGAGGCCGCCCTCTGCTTGGCCACCCTTGCTATAAGCAGGCTGAGATAGAAGGGACAAAGATGAGAGATGTGGGTTTGAGGGGCCTGATCCCCCTCTGAATTCTTTGCAAACTTGAATTCCCTAAGGGGACTTTTCACTCTACAAGTTCAATGAAGAGACCTGGTGGATGCCTTCCTTTACAGGGAGCCAGGCTGCTTCCTGTAGGTGGCCCCAGATTTAGATTTAGGGATGGCACAGGGAAAGATAGGACAGCGTGGCGGGTATAGTGAGCCCTGCCTGGCAGCAGTGGAGGAAGGCCATGCCATGTGCGGTGCCAGCCTGGGTTGGTCAGGGGGACCCTCCTGCACAAGTCTTGGCCTGGGAGCTCCCTCACCCTACTAGATCCGCCCCGCCCCATGGGGTGGTCCGCGTTTGCCGGCCCACCCTCTGACGCTGTGTTTCTCGCCCCGCCTCCCCCGCAGTATGTGGCCTTTGCTTCTCTGTTCTTCATCCTGGTCTCCATCACTACCTTCTGCCTGGAGACGCATGAGCGCTTCAATCCCATCGTGAACAAGACGGAGATAGAGAATGTGCGCAATGGCACGCAGGTGCGCTACTACCGCGAGGCCGAGACCGAGGCCTTCCTCACCTACATCGAAGGCGTCTGCGTGGTGTGGTTCACCTTCGAGTTCCTCATGCGCGTCGTGTTCTGTCCTAACAAGGTCGAGTTCATCAAGAATTCGCTCAACATCATCGACTTCGTGGCCATTCTGCCCTTCTACCTGGAGGTGGGGCTCTCGGGCCTGAGCTCCAAGGCTGCCAAGGACGTGCTGGGCTTCCTGCGCGTCGTGCGCTTTGTGCGCATCCTGCGCATCTTCAAGCTCACGCGCCACTTCGTGGGCCTGCGCGTGCTGGGCCACACGCTGCGCGCCAGCACCAACGAGTTCCTGTTGCTCATCATCTTCCTGGCTCTGGGCGTGCTCATCTTCGCCACCATGATCTACTACGCTGAGCGGATAGGGGCGCAGCCCAACGACCCGAGCGCCAGCGAACACACGCACTTTAAGAACATCCCCATCGGCTTCTGGTGGGCCGTGGTAACCATGACGACGCTGGGCTACGGGGACATGTACCCGCAGACGTGGTCCGGCATGCTGGTGGGGGCGCTGTGCGCGCTGGCGGGCGTGCTCACCATCGCCATGCCCGTGCCGGTCATCGTGAACAATTTCGGCATGTACTACTCCTTAGCAATGGCTAAGCAGAAACTACCAAAGAAAAAAAAGAAGCATATTCCTCGGCCGCCGCAGCTGGGATCTCCCAATTATTGTAAATCAGTCGTAAACTCTCCACACCACAGTACTCAGAGTGACACATGTCCGCTGGCCCAGGAAGAAATTTTAGAAATTAACAGAGCAGGTAGGAAACCTCTTAGAGGCATGTCCATCTGACCTTTCACCTCCGCCCCCGGTAGCGATGTTATGATTCCAGATTCAGCCAGACTGCTTCCTTAGTTCCGGGGGGCCAGCCCGGATGCCGCACCCAGGTCTTGAGGTGTGGAGCCTGGGGGCGCAGGGTGGTGCTGGGCAGCCCTGTTCACAAGGCGAGAGAGCCCTCCCTGCCGGCCCTGGGGAAGGGGCCTGATGCGTTGGGCTCCGGGCCCAGCCAGCGGGACAGCAGCGGGAGGCCATGAGGTGGCTGAGGACTCTCTTAGCAGGGATGCTGCCTAGAGGCAGAGGCCAGCTCCTAACTTGGTGCCGGGGCGGGGCAGGTGTGGTTCAGAAGTGCCAGATGGCTTTTTGCTTCGATCTTTACTTAGGCAAGGCTCCCTCTAGGCTGCTGTGGATGGCAGACATGGTATGGTGAAGTGGGATGGGGCAGGGGAGTCCCTCAGCCCTGACAGAACCTGGCTCCCTAGCTGAATAGACCTCCTGCTGTGATTGTAGCTGCCTGACAGCTCTCTCCTCTAGCCCTCCGTGATGAGCACTCACCCCATAGCATGCCAAACCAACCAACTCATCTTCCACCACCACTCTAGAGTTTTAGCATTTATCTTTAGGAACCTGTTGGAGTGACTCTGGCTTTCACATGGTCTGTTGGGGTTGATGGTCGAGTGGGTGTTTCCGGTGACCTCCTGATGGAAGCGGCCGGCCAGCCGGTGAGCAAAGGGCTGGAGGAGAGGAGCTTAGGTGACCGCTCCCCAGGCCTGCAGCAGCAATACCAGCCATCCCAAATGGTGTGCAGGGCCACTGGCCGGGCACACTCCCCAGGGGTGGAGGGTGGGGGGAGGGTGGCAGCAATACTAGTCACCGTGGGATATATTCTAATATTCCATGGCTAGTGGTTTGTTATGGGACTATCTCAGTTTTATGAGAATCTGCACATAGCACATAAAGTTGATCCCGGGGCTCTGGTCAGAAGATAAGAAACCCATAGTCTACCTCTACCCATGGAAAACCATCACCTTGTTCTTTGGACCCAGGAAACTCAGTGGAGCAGATGCCCCAGAGAAGAAGGGCAGTGCTGAGCTGAGCACGAGCACAGGGGAGTGGGAGGTTGACCCTAAAGACCCCATAGCACTGAGTCCGCCATGGGCATCCTGTGCCTGGGATCTGGTTGGTGCGGCTCCAAGCAAGGACGCTTGTCCCAGGCTGGAGTGGCTTCCCCTGGCTTACTTCCCTGCAGACGCGCTCTCTGACCCACCACCCCGCCTCATCCTGCCATGGTCCTCTGTTGATGGCTGTGCCAACCAGCACAGTGGCCTGAGGCCCTCCTTTCTGTCCCCTTCATCTTAACCCTCTTCCCCTCCTTGTCCTGGATTCCTGGAGGCACCTGAGAAGAATGTGGACTGATACACCAGGCTGGACTGGGCTGGGCTGGGCAGGGGGCTTAGAAGCTGAAGCAGTGTATCTGGGGGAGGGCCAGGTTGCAGCTCAGCAAGGTGGGCCATGTGTGCTACCTCTGCATTGGGAGTTAGCTGAGCCACAGTCAGATCCAGGCCTTGGCTGGCTGCATAGGAACCCCAGTGGGAAACATTCAGCCAGATGGGCCTCCCCATGGTCCCTGCAATGCACCCACCCCATCACTGGACCCCTAAGGATCAATGTCCCAAGTAGGGTGCTGCAGGCCAGCCCAGCAAGGACACTCTGTTCACTGTAGGCTGGCAACTTCCTCTGTACTCCAAGCAAAGACAGTGCCCACCCATTCACTAGGAGGGACACACACACATGTTCAAGAGTCATTCAGACATGCTCACTAGCTTGTACTGGGGACACAGGTGACAGCAGCCATGCAAAGCCCTTGCACTCCCCTGGGCTCCTCTGCAGTCCCGTTGTCCCAACCCCAGGTTTCAAGGACCCAAAAAGCACTGCCTTGGTTGGTCTTTATAACCTAGCAACCCCAGGGGTCCAGAGTGCTCTGTCTTCCTCCCTGCTCCCTTCCTGTGCATTTGATTCATCTGGGGATGTTGGTGCTGTCCCAGAGCCCAAACCTGCCCCTGCTCATCTGGACCGCCCCCCTCCACCACCCCACTGCTAGTCAGAGCCCCACCCCTCACAAACCCCTCCTGCCTCCACCTACTGGCCTGAGACCTTCATCTTCTACCACTGGAAGGACATGTGGCCTATAGGGGGCATCCTACCACATCTGTGCACCACTGGGTTCCTTCCTCATCCATGCTCTCCATGTAGCTCTGTCCTTGCTACTCATGGGATTGAAGGAGAGTTTGTGAGAGGGTGAAGGGTAGGCCATGGTAAGGCAGGCAAGCGGGAGGGTGGAGACCGGAGTACAGGAAATGTTGGGAGATGCCGAGCCCATGGGCCCCTTACATGCTCACTTGCACCCCGTGAGCAGCCCAGCAGTCTCACCTGAGTCTGAGGTTCTCTAATTCCACGTACCCAGCCCAGAGTGGGGTCAAGTACACTCCTCTGAGCCCTGAAGACATCCCAGCCCCACAGTGTCCTCCAGGCCAGGAAATCGGGCTGAGGCAAGAGCCTGCAGCTCTCACCAATAGCATTCTCCCTCACCCCAGCTTGGGTCACTCCAAAGTATCAGTCTGTGTGTCTGTGCCAAGGGTGGCTGTTCTCTGGGCCCTAGCTGCTGTGTCCTGAGTGTTTGGAGGTCCTGTCTGAGGGGAAGGGTTGGTCCTCACCCTGCTGCTGGGTGACACTGGGGGATGCATGGGGCTCATGGCACAGGAGGAGCCGCCTGGTTCCTGGAAGAGCCTCCCTCCCCCACGCCTCTGTGGGCACCCAGAGTTGCCCCGTCCTGCCATGTCCATTCACGTGTGTGTTGTCCATCTCTGCTCCTGTGCTGTGGGTCAATCCTTTGTGGTGCAGAAGGGCTCCTTGTAGGAGAGCAGGAGGTGGCAGGTGGGGTGGGGTGGGGGAAGGCTGCAGGCACCCAGGGCAGCCTGAGATGCCAATAGAAATTGCTTGCTTGGCAGGCCCCCGGGGAGTGACCACTGTGGTCTCAGGGCTGGAAGTGGCCGTGGGGGTGGGTGGGCTGCTCTCCTCTGGGACATGGGGTTGTGTACGGGGCTGAAAGGTTGTCAGGAACCAGCTGTGGCACTGGCAGCTGGGATCACGAGAGGGGTCTCTCTTGCCTTTTGGGCAGGCAGAGGGGCAGAGATAGCAGAAATAAGCGGTGACTTAGAGGGGCCAAACATGGTTGTTCCTTTCTGTGTTGTTCACATTTCCACTTTCTCTCTCTCCACTAATCATGTTTCTCTCTCTCTCTCTCCTGTTTTGTTGCATGACTTGTGCCAGTTCTTGTGATTTTGTCTGTCCCAGATTGTCCCCATTAAACCTGGGACATTTTATTCTGAGTCCCCAGCTGGGCATATCCCTCGAGATTTAACCCAAGAAAATGCCCATCCACTCCCCTCTCACCCCAGTCCAGCCCTGCGTGTGCCCCAGGGCGCCCGCTGCTGGTGTCAACAAGTAAGTACGTGATTGGTGGTGCCTGGAGATGGGGCAGTCGCCAGCCACCTGCTGGCCGAGGGCCTGGCCGTATGGGGTCTCCTTGCTCCAAAGTTTAAAAAAAAAATGACTCCCCCTGCTCCTCGCGGACACTCATCTCAATCATTTCAAAGCCTGGAAATCATCTCTGAGCCGCTGCCTATGCTGCCATTTCACCATTGCAGGCCTGGGGAGTCTGGTGGGGGCCCGGGGGCCTGGGCCAGGTGAGGCAGGGCCCCCAGGATTCTAGAAAGCAGGGGGAATCGGAGGTTCCTAGCTGTCATCTCATCTACAGGTGGAGGCGGAGCCAGAGGGGACAAGGTGGGAGTGTCTCCCCTGCCCTTAGCATGTGTGCCTCAGACACAGATGATTGGCCTTCTTTGGTTTGTGTCTCTTGCAGTTGTCCTGGATTCTGAGAGCGTCCCAAACCACAGATAAACCAAGAGCCTGAGGATGCCGGGCTTATTCCTAAAGCAAGACTTAAACACCCCCACCCAATCACAGCCCCTCTGCAAAGATAGAAGCAGGTCCCTGGAGTGTCCTGGGAATACTCTCCAGGGAGGGCGGGGTGCCTAGCCTTCATTCCCATCCCCACATTTCCCCCCAGGCCCCGCCAGAGATCCTTGATGGAGACTCCTTGTTCTCTGCCTCCAGAGAGTATCAGTGCAGAACCTGGGGACCCTGAAAAGTTGGTTGTGGGACCCAGGAGACCCAAGAGTATGGAGTGGTGGTGGGCAGAGTACTCAGAGCCCGAGGAGGAGGAGGTCTCAGGCTGCACTATCCCCGTGGAGGCAGAAGCAAGAGACTGAGTGATCACCAAGGCGGTAGACCCCAGCCTTGACACAGGAACAAGTGCTTACCCATCTCCTAGATGGCCGCGGTTTGGGAAAGGTCGGTTACACAGAGTGCTGCAGGTCCCTACTCCCACTTCTTCTCTCCCTCCATCCTGGTCCCCTCCTCTCTCCCCAGCACCCTCCCCCTTCAGCCCAAAACCCTCTGGGAAGGAAGACAGGGACCGAGCAGAGTGGGAGGCAGGTCTGGGCCTATCTGGGGGCACATGTGTGTGTGCCCGCAGACATGCCCTTTGGTGCTAGGCAGCCTAGAGACCCCAGTCATGTGGTATCCCAGTTACCTTGGTAACTGGCCATTCTGGTTGAGAACAGCTCGGGGAGCGAAGCCCCTGGGATTTGTCAAGAAATGCACTGTACGTGAAATGCTTTGCCACCTTGTATGAGAGACTTTTTTTTTAAGTTCCAAAATTATGATGGGATTTTTTGATTTGCTTTATGAATAAACCTGATTGGTCCATTTCTCTTTTGACTGACTGCCTCTTTGTAGTGACATGATGTGTACACGGGTGGTGATCCCACCCCCATGCACGCCAAGTGTGTGCACGTGGGAAAGGACCACTTCTGCGTGTAGTTACATGATGTGAACAGTATCACGGGCGAGTGTCACACTGGGTGGAAACTGTCCCCAGCCCTTTCCCCTCTCTCAAAAGTTGTCAGAGAGCCTCCCTTGGTCATGACCATGTTGGCTTCTTCTTGCCCTCGAGGCTGTCGCCCTTGGTGCACTATTGGAGTTGGAGCCACCTGGGCAAGAAAGGGTCTGCTTGGAGGGCCGAGAATGGGGAAGGATTCAGTTTCTAAGGGTGATGGGGTAAGGGACGTAGACCAGTATTCTGGCTCCCGGAACTGGGAGGGACAGGGCTCCTTGCTCTGGCCGCACTTTGCCCCCAAGCCTTCTCCTGGTTCCTTCTCAGGCTACCACAGAGGACGAGACCTGAATCTCCCCCAGCCCCAGTCCATCAGCTGCTGTTGTCTTCCACATCTCCATTTGCTCTGCTTTGCCGGGGACACTGACGAGAGGAGACAGAGGAACGGGAGTCCCTCCCCCATCCATGTCCCGCCGTCACAGCATCATGCATACATCCCTATTGTGCCTGTGCAAGCTGCCCAAGCCTGCTGGGGCATCCCGGGGGAGGGGAGGCACTGATTGGATTTGTGTGGGGAGCAGAACAGACTGAGCAGCATGGGTCTGTGTGGGCCACAGAGCAGATGTACTGGGCAGATGGGGGTCTGTATGGGGACAGAGATGGCCATGTGGCCTAGTGTTTACAAATGGGTGGGACATCAGAGCCAAAGACTGGCTCCCTGTGGGGAGAAAGTAGACTGTATGAACAGGTCTAGTCTATGTAGGGGACAGAATGTGAAAGTGACCATAGAGGGTCCCTGTGGGACAGGGTAGTCTCAGTGAGCAGGTGGTCTGAATAGGGGACAGCGCAATAGAGACAGAGTACACTCACAGAGCAGGCCTGGTCTGTGCAAGGGGCGGAGCATCAGGGTAGCTAGAGAGCAAGAGACGGCAGGGGCAGGCTGAGTGATCAGAGAGTGTATGGGGGAAGAGGCCAGGGACAGGATGAACCCAGAGATTGGTTGGGTTCCAAATGGCAGTGGAGTAGAGTTGGTTGGGTGTTTGAATGGGGTTAGGGAAACTTGTTCAACTGCTGCAGATGGATGCGAGGTGACCAGGCTCTGGTGGGCAGCAGAGGGGCCTGCAGAGGCCACCTCTCTGTACTGGAGTGTTCTGCGTGTCTGTCTGTCTTCTCCCCAGCTCTGTGTTTGGCCTCTCCCTTTGACTGCATCCACACCATCCTGTGTCATCTGCCCTGCTGGAAGCCCCAGGCCCAGCCTAGGGCACACACCTGCTGGGCCCGTCACCACCTCATCTTTTTGCAAACTTTGAGCAAGCCCAGGAGTGCCCTGCCCCCAGCACAGTGGGCAGCCTCTAGGCTGCCCAGATGAGCTGGGCTCCCTCTGCCAAGCCCCGATTCCTCCTCTGTCCTCGGGAGGGCTCCCCTCTGCTGAAACCCACCCCCCCCACCTCTGGCCTATCCCCTTCCTCCCCCTCCCCCCCATAACTAAATGGTTTTCAGTGTCTCAATAGCTTCTGCTTATATGTTTGAAGATTCCAAACTGAATGGGGAGGTGGCGAAGGCCGCGCTGGCGAACGAAGACTGCCCCCACATAGACCAGGCTCTCACTCCCGATGAGGGCCTGCCCTTTACGCGCTCAGGCACCCGCGAGAGATACGGACCCTGCTTCCTCTTATCAACCGGGGAGTACGCGTGCCCACCTGGTGGAGGAATGAGAAAGGGTATGTAGAGGAAGCCGGAGCACTGCGCAACAGCTGGGCCCGCATCGCGCTCCTGCAAATGGGTGGGCAGGGTGGCGGGGGAGGGGCATGGATGGGCAGGCAGGCCTGCTGAGGGGGGCAAGGATGGAGGGAGTCCCCCAGGGTCAGCCCCTGGCAGGCTGGGTCCCTCTCCCCCTTTGGGACGTCAGGCTGGCACACAGAACTGATGGGCTGGTATTGAGCTAAGGGGAAGAGAGCGAGGGGCTTGGCACAGGCTGGCTGATTTCCTGCTATGGCCCTACAGCAGAGGAAGACAAGCTGGGGTGGCGGGGAGCCCTGACTCCCCCTGGCTGCTCCCACAGGTGGCAGGGCAGGTCCAGGAAGCATAGTGATTGCTCATCTCCTTTGGTGAAGGAGGCCGGAGGGGTGAGCCTGGTCTGCCCAGGGCCCTGCAAGCTGAATTGGCCAAGGTCCTCATTCTGTAAGAGGCCAGTGGGAGGGGGGCTCAAAGACACAGACGACTTGAGGCAAAGCCATCAGCCTTGCAGAGGAAAAGTGGGTGCCAGTCAGAACACTGGTAGTGGCAGCTGGGGAATTTGCCAAGAGAAGGTGGTTAGACAGGGCTGTATGTAGCCCTTTCCACCTCTGGTGCCCACTTGGCCCCTTCCCTGGGTGTGATCACTTTCCCTTTATGGTTGGCGAGGACTGAGATCAGTGGCTCCCATCTCTGCTCAAGGGCTCCTTAGAGTCAGAACTTGACACTTGTAGGAGAGTTGGAGCATGGACAGGGGGAGGGCTTGCAGTGGGGCCCAGAACAGCCTTGCTCAAGACCCCAGGCACTGTCCTGGGCCGGGAAGGCAGAGCACGCCTTCTTGGTGAACAGAGTGGCTGGGCAGCTTGTGCATGTCTTGGAGCGCCTCACATAGATGCATGCTGACCTGGGTGAGCAGGCTGGGTCAGGGGTTTTGAGCTATAGTTGGTGTAGCCAGTGGCCATTCACAACTGCTCCAGTGTTGAAATGGTTAAGCCATTCAGAAAGAAAACAGGGAATCCACAATCAAAGACAAACCCAGAAGAGGAAAGGCAGGCTTCACAGAGATGAGAGAAAATGCTTAGCTGTGCCCACCTGATCTAGGCAGGTCCCTGGTTCTCAACCCTGCCTGGAGGTCCCTTGGACCAGTGCAGTGAGCCACTCCCCTTCTGGTGCTGCATGACAGCTGGCAACCTTGGGGGAGGGCCTGTCCACAGCCCCTCCCAGGGATGGGCCTGATGCTGCCCTTTGTGGCTGGCTTTTCCCAGGGGGAGGCTCCTGAATGCTCAGGAACAGGGGCAGCTCTGGGGAGGAAGCAGGAAGCAGGACTATTTTGTTGGCCAGCCCTACCCAGGAAGTCTTGTAGGCTGCCTGGCTTCTTGGGAAAATTGCATTAAAGGATGCAGCCCCAAACAGCAAGCAGGGAAGTCTTTTTACTTTGCTTCCAGAAGCCCAGAGAACATGGGACAGAAGCAGCCACATCTCCTGGGGGTGGCTAGGGAACTCAGTGGCCACACGGTGCATGGGTGACACCCACACCCCAGTGTCACAGGGATTGGGTGCCAGAGTCTTTAGGAGGTTCCCCGGGGAAAGCACCCCACCCACTCCCATGGGGCTGAGTGCTTTCCTCGGCCATTCCGGAGCCCTGAGTCTTGCAAGTGCTTGAGTTCCTGTGCAGAGTAGGAGGAGAGTCAGGGACTCAACCTGTTCCCCCAGGGGGAGAGGAAGAGGCTGCTAGGCTGGCTCACTGCATGGGAAACCAAGCCAGTTGGAGAAGAATCTGCCTGCCTCTGCATGCGGCTGTTCTGTCCTTCCTCCTTCTTCCTTAAAAACTAAGAACCCAGCGGGACGGGAAAGCCAAGAAGAGAAGCTCAAGTGTTAATTGTATTCTTTACATACAGATCTTTGCAAAGAAAGCCCTGTCATTGCTAAGTATATGCCGACAGAGGCTGTGAGAGTGACTTGACCAGGCGGCTTGGCCCAGGACACTGGTGGCTATTAAGCATCTGGGTGGACCTGCAGCCCCTCCTCACCCTCGGACAGAGTAAATTCACGCCATGCAGGTTTGCCGGACGAGTCCGAGTGGCCCAGGCATTGTACTAGGACGGACGTAGCTTTTTCTACGGCCAAATGGTAACTGACCGTAGAGGATTTCTTTTCCTTCTTATCACTTGATTTATTTATTTTTAACATTTTCTTTTATTTGGGGAGGGGGAGGCGGAGGGGTTCCTTAGCATGACTTGCATGAAGTTCAACAGAAACCCAGCAAACCAAACCCACCAACCCTCCCAACCCCCTGCAACTGTATGATCACCTTAAGCAACAACAATAACGGAAAGGTGGAAAGTCCTCAAGTTTCTTTCAAAACTCTTTACTTTAACACACATTGTTGGAGCCAAACTGTTAACTGTGTTCCGTAGAATCCTGTACGTTTCTGAGGGCGGGGGCGAGGGAGGAGGGCCAGGGAGTGGGGCGGACTGCTTCTCTTTTTGTACTCACGCTGGAGAGCCAAGGTTCCAGAAAGGGCAGTTGGTCAGTCATCGGTCACATTGACCTCACCTTCATAGCTCATCTCTCCCGCGGAAACCGAGAACTTTGCTCCAAGTAGAATTGTGGAAGCCCGCACTGCCGCCTCCCTCCCTCTCTGGCATGCTTGTGATCCAGCGGATGTCTCCCCAAGACCCCTGACAGCGGCTAGCCTAGGTTGAGTCTCTCCTCTTCCCGGTGTGTAGATGCAATGTGACAGTTTCATAACAAATTGTTCATAGGAAATCATCACCACTGTGTGGATTTTCCAAGTGTTACTTTCATACCAGGCTGTAGAGCACCAACAGATCAGGACCACGGGAGGAGCGGCCTCCTCCAGCTTTAACTAAGGCACAACCTGGCACTGTATGCAACTTAGTACTTCAGAGTAAAAACCTGCATGCCCAATGTTATGGAAAGCGATTCTAGCATGAAATAAATTTTGCATCATGGTTTCTGTATAGTCTAAAGCAGATTTGTTTTCCTGAAGCAATTGGAGGTTTGCAGAGACACACTTCTGCATCTCGAATAAATATAGTATTTTCCCAACTGAAACAGAGGACAGTAGCTTGGCTTTGGTCTGATTCTAAAATTAGTGGGGGTGGCGGGGAGAAGGATGGTATTTTTGAAAAACACATGCTGGAGTAGAGAAGCGAAATGCAACATCTCGAGCTTTCACTGCAGCTCACAACGTTTCCTGGAAAGAGCAGTGACGCTTCAGCTCTACACCCTCCCCCTGCCTGGGCCTTGCCCCTCTCCCCATAATAAAAAGCTGACTTTTGAGATGAAGCACGGACTTGGGTTTTTATTGCCTCCAGGCAGTGTCACAGTTCCACTCTGGGCCTTGGGCTGCTGGGGCTGGGCTGGGCCTGGGTTCCTAGCTCTTTGGTTTCAAGGCCCCAACTTCAGGGCCTCGCAGTCTTTACACGGGGTGGAGTGGGGAAGCCAGATCCCCAGGAAGCAGTCACCCCCTCCAAGTTGGCTGCACAGGGTGGCCCCTCAGTCTGCAAATCCAGCTCGGTGTGAGGAGATGGGGCGCTCTGAGAAGGGACAAGGCATAGGGACCTGACCTAACACTAACACATCCTCTAGAGGCTGTCTGATAGGGAAATTGCTCTGTAACTCATGCCCAGGCTCCCAGCTACCTGTGCAGGCCACGGCCACCATCTTCCTAGGGTGGCTGGTGAGACTGAAGGGGCTGAAGGCAGGCATATACCTGTCGTGTGCCTCACTCAGCGGTACCTTTGCTGGGACCACTTCACTGAACACCCCTCTTCCATCCTGGGAGGGAAGAACCCTTTTCCAGCTGGGATGACTCCTTTGGTTTTGTTGCGGGGTAGGGTAGAGCCCTACACATTGGAGACTCCAGGAATGCTGGGTGCAAAGAGCCCCTTAAAGGTCATGTCAGTCAACCTCTTGGTGTTTTACAGATGAGATCTCGAGAGGGCAGTGATCTGTATAGGACCACCAAAAAAAATGGGGGTCTGTCCTGTCCTGGCCTCCATTCCACAGTCAGATGGGTGGTGGAGAGGTCAGGGTAGATGCCAAAATCCCGTTTGTTTCACTCCCTCTAAGCATCTGACCCCAGCTTTTGGTGAAGTTAGTGGAGCCTCTGCCCAGGGGTTGTATGGCTGACCAGGTGCGAGCCAAGCAGCTCAGTTGCAGCAGGGTGGGTGATGTTGGCTCTACCTAGGGTGCCACCTGCAAAAAAGTACCACTGGTAGATTCCAAGTGGGACTCAAATCAAATCCATGTGGAGTATGGGTTTCCAAAGGACACAGCAGTGACAAGACACTCTGCACATGCAGAGTGTGTCAACGTGTTGTATAAGGACAGTTCGCGATGACTAAGTAATCCCCTCTTAGGGGTGAGAGGACATAGCTCAGAGAGGTGGCCCAAAGCCACAATGCCACAGAATGAGCAAGCCAAGATTCTACCTAAGTGATCTGACTTCAGAGTGGAGGTTGGGTTGTCCCAAGCTAGCTGAGGACTTCCTCAGACTGGCCTTAGAGGTGGAATCCATAGGAACACCAGAGCTGCTGGCCCCAAATCCCAGAATCCTCAGGATCTGGCTTCCTGCTCTTTCCTCCAGCACCATGGGAGTGACAGAATGGACCACAGCCCATCCCACTTCACACAGCTAGTCACTCTTTGGCTTAAACACCTTGGTTGCTAAGACGTTTAAGCTCCTTCACTTGTCTTGCAAGGCCCATCAGCCACATTAATCTCTCCTCTGCTTATACCCAACCCCTTGTGTTCTCCAGTCACTCTGAAATTCTGAACTTGGAGCAGCCACACATATGTGCATTACAACTGGGAGCATCCTCTCTTCAACACCAGCAACCACTTTCCCACTGTGAGCACTAACTCCGGGTTTCAGTTGATTACTAAGTTACTTCACAGGGAGGTGCTGGATGCCAGGTGCTGGATGGAGAGGTTCTATTCTGAGCCTGAGGCCTAGATTCACCATGCCTTAGCACCATTTTACCTAAGGTTGGTTTGATAGCCCACACATCATCCAGGCAGGGCCAAGGGTGGTGGGGATGTCAAGGGAAGATGGGGTGCCTTCCATCAGGAGGGGTGAGTTGGCAGATGGGGATGGAAACATCTCCCCAGTGTTTAGTACAATGACCCCAATGGGGTCCACTTCCCTATTTTTTCCCTTCCTTCCTTTGCACACCGAAAGTCTTTGGAGGCAACTCATATAGTTGACTTTTTTTGTTAAACGTAACTTTTAAACATGAGTACTTTCTAGCCAGGTGGATGATGTTGACATTAACTGGCAGTCAAACGAAATCCACAGCACAGTTCTCAAATATTTGTAAAAGGTATAAATGCAGAGGGTGGCCAGAAACAAGGGGTTTATAGTGTCAACTTGTGTGACCTTCTGTGGTAACCCTGTCATTCACTTGCACTTAACTGAGCGCTTCTTCTGTACCAGCTTTAACTGATGGACCAGGTGTACTTGCTGAAGAGCTTCTGATGCTCTCAAAGAGCTCATGGTCTACTAGAAGCGGTGAAGATAGGTGAGAGGTGGGCAGCTTAGACATGGACAAGGTCAGAGAATGAACAATAGTAATCAACAAATCCAGAAAAAGTCTAGGAGAACCTGTTAACACCTCCTCACTCATGTGAGGAAGGGGACAGCGGACAAACTCAAGGTGGGTAGGGCTGTGGTGTCTTCTAGCACCAAGAGCCACTCATTCTCCTATGCGTAATGTATTCATGTCCTGCCTGTTTCCAAAAAGTCCTAACTCAGTTCTGAGACCCTAAAGCTTAGGGACCTTAGGGCTGTTGCACCACCTGATCCTGTTCCAGGATGGGCAGGACCACAGAGACAATTTTTCTGGATATTGACAGATAGGCCTGGGAGAGGCACAGGACTCATCAGGAGAGGCCTTAGGATTTGGGTCTTGGGCTGGCAGCATAGCCTAGAGACTAAATCCTTGCTTTGCTTGCACCAGGATCCCAAATCAGCACTGGTTTGTGTCCTGGTGGCCCTGTTTCTCACCCAGCTTCCTGCTTTTAGCCTGGGAAAGCAATAGAGGATGGACCAAAGCCTTGGAATCCTGCACCTACAGGGGAGACCTGGAAGAAGCTTCTGGTTCCTGGATTCAGACTGGTTCAGCTCTGGTCATTGAGGCCACTTGGGGAATGAAACAGCAGATGGAAGATCTTTCTGTCTCTCCTTCTCTCTGAATATCTGTCTTTCCAATAAATAAATAAATATTAAAAAAAAAAAAAGATTTGGGTCTCTACCAGCAAGTGCTGAAGGAGGTAGGAGGGAGTTCCAGACCCTAGCTGTGGTGGAAAGAGTGTGTTGGTTCCTTGTGAGTAGAAACTCTGCCTTGGCCTGACAGGGCCAACCCACCAACCCATGTGGCTGCTTTCTGGGGTCTGACGTAGCATACCCAGCCTGAAGAGAGGGTAGTGGCAACTCTGGGCTTCTCCTATGGATGGTCTCTGGGCCATCTAATTGTTGCATCCTTGTCAGCTTAGGCACCTTAGCAAGAGCAGCTTGAGTATAGGGACATGTCTGTCTTTCCACTAAGTACTTGGAAGCTGTACTGCCCTCTGTTAGCTCTGCAAGGTGGAAGACCAGGGACTTCAACAGCCAGGGCAGATGTTTCTCTTGGCGTTCAAGGTCAGCCTGCAACTGTAGGTAGTCCCTGGGTGCAGGTATGGGTTGCTCAGTGGACTCCCCTAAGTTGGACCCACTTCTGTCTGGTCTCAGGCCTATCTGTTATCCGACCCTGCTCTGGCTTGGGTTCCTGGTTGGGTTCTTCCCAGAGTAACCACAGTAAGGTGTATGGCCTTGAAATAGCCTCTTTATGCCTCCATTTTCACGTAGTCTTTAAACTTTCTCAAGGATGCCCTTATCAAATAAAATATTAGGTATGATCAAATATATAATGTGAAGGGTCTTCAAAAAGTTCATGGAAAACGTAAGAGAAGGTGATAATTTTCATAATTTCAAAGCTGAAAAGGATTTTCATATTTTTTGCACCAAAATAAACTTACTGTTTCGTGCCATATTCCTAGGAACTTTTTGAAGTTCACTGATATGTAGATAAAACTAAAGCTGATTTGAATAGATGGGATAGGGAACCCAGGAAAGAATGCAGTTTGGAGGCCAACAAACTAAATGGTGGATATCTAGTGGCTTTATACCTCCTCACAGTCACTGGAACATCAGCCTTCCCAAACCCGGACTCTCCTGGGTCTCCCAGCAGTGTGGGATGGGACATGGGCCTCACCACCTGGCTGATGACACTAGCGTAGAAGCCCTCTGCAGGGCAGCCTGTCTCCTGAGGGCTCTGACCAAGGGCTGGTGGTTAGTCCCAGCAGAGTGAAAGGCACTCTCTCCCCCAGAGCCATAGCTGCCACCCGGGGAAATCAGAGGTCAGAGATCTGGGCAGGCCCCCACCTCACTGAAGAACCCTGCTCCTACACTGGCCAGGACTAGGGGGCAGATGGTAGGGGCTGGGGCCTTCGGTGTTACCATTGTTGCACACTCCCTTGGCCATGCTGCCAGGCTGTGGCCTATTCCTCAAGAGAAACTGCAGCTCGGCAATTCAACATGCTTACTCCAGAGCCCTTCCTGCCTTAGTGAAGCTGGAAATCTGATAGGCTCACTGATTCCAGTTGCCTGTCTGCTCAAGGAGTCATTTTCCTGGGTCTTCAGGAAAATCTGATCTTTTTCTCTGCTCACTCATTTCCACTCCCTTTCGCCTCTCCCTGGGACCTGCTCCTTGAATCCTAGTCATTAAGATGAAAGCTCTTTCCAGACTGGGCACCCAGGTACAGTGCTTTGATACCCAAGAATGGGCAAAGGATGAGTTCTGGGGCTTGCAAATAAAACACCAGAAGCTGGTGGGTGCACTAGGCCAGCCTGGGAAACCTGTGGCCTGTGGAATCAAAGGTTTTTGGACCCAAACTACCACAGGGCTGGGTTTCCTGTCTTTGGGGCAGGAAGTGGCTGGAGCACTTATGGGTGCTTCAACTTTCCTGGGCTCAAGTGAGGACACAAGTCCTTATTCTTATCTTCTCAGCAGAAGAACATCTGGCCCCTTGAGCCTCGGTCACCTGGCAGGCAATCTTCCCTCCCAGCATTCTTGTTTGTGTAAGCCCAATTTTTGGTGCCTCGGTTCCACAATACAACAGTGTGATTTTCTGGGTACACTGTCTGGAAGGAAAAGCCCACTTTATTCCAAAATTGCCACCATGGTTCCCCTTTTCAAGAGCTGTCTGATTGGCTTTGGGCTACAGTTTCTGATGGTTTTCCTTTTACGCTCTCTCTGTCCATGGCTTCTTGAGATCTGGTTTCCTGGGTGGCATCCACAGAAGGGATGGCGATGTTGGGGTCCCGGTCCCATGCAGCAGGTGCTGGCAGCTGGCAGAGGGCCAGGGAGTGCCCAGCCCCACAGCCCACGAGGAGTCCCGACGCCGACCACAGACCCTCCACAGGCTTTGGGGCCCAGACGTTGGCTTCGGTACCGTCCCCGCACATGCCATGCTCGTTCCAGCCCCAGGAGTGACATACTCCATCTGTGGAAAAGAAGGAAGACTGCTATAGAGGTGGGTCTGAATCGGACAGCTGGGCCCTCTAAGGTATCAACACGTGCAAAGCAACTAAAGCACAGTAGCACATGGGGGCATGCTCACCATCTCTGCCTCCATTTCTGTTCCTTGCCCACTCCCCGGGTGCTTGTGTTCCAGGGTTTCCCATTCCCACCAACCCAGAGAGTCCATGCCCTTGAGCTGGACTTCTCCCTTGGGTCTTGTTCACCATCACTTCCCACATATAGTCCATAACCGATACCTCCAAAAATCTCTCAACCCGTTCTTCACATCTCCACTGCCATCACCCTAACTCAAACTGCTGTTTTCATTTACCCAGGCCATAGAAACAAGGATGCTTGCCAGCTACTCCTCTGTTCAAAGAGCACAGGGTAGCTCCTGACAGATGAAATCTTTTTTTGTTGTTGTTGTTTTATGACACAGTTTGATAGGCTCTGGGATTCCCCCAACCCCTCCCCTCATGATGAATTTCTCCAACGTGTTACAGTAGTACAGTTAATATCCAGTCATAGTTCCTTCATTGTGGGCATGTACCATGCATAGAGTCCAGTGTCCTATTGTCCAGATAAATTCAACAGTTTCATTGGGAGACCATTCCTGGTCTGAGAGTATAGCTGGAAGAATATCATCCCCTTCAATGTAACACCACAACACAACATCATTAACAATTTATAACATCATGGAGTTAACTGACATGGTATTGAGTAACCAATATGTTAGAAAATGTAAGTTCTTAACCACATCCTGTGACTACTTCACTGACATTTCAGTTTTAGTTTATACACAAACCGGCTGCTATACACCTTAAAATGGCTATAGGGTACTATTCGGCTGTTTATTTTCGTTTTTATGTTTAGCAGCTTATAGCATTAAAGCATGATTTCTACTGAACTTAGTGAATTTTAGGATATCCCAAACAGGCTTATAACCCTAACAAGGCATATGTTAATACTTGAGGCACAGAACAGTTTTAAGAACGGGTGTGCAGAGAAATCTTTGATACCTTAGTGAGAAATAACTAATCTTTGTGTCCTACCTAGTAAGGTATATGTGAGTCCAAGCTGACCATTTCACCATTTCCTGTCTGTTCTACACTTTCCTTCTTGGTCTCTGTCTATCTGTCCTAATTTTTTTTTTTTGTGGGGGGGGAGGAGGCTCCGGAACGACCCTGATGGTCACTGCAAGGGAGGGTGGGGATCCAAAGTTGGAACTAAGTAAGGACTGACAAACCAAGTCTAATTACTGCTTACTGCCCTGCCTAAATGCCTGTAGTGACACCCTCTGGTGTGTAAGCCCCAAGTGTTATGACTCCCGACTATCCTGTGCAATTCCCCCACTCCTTGTGTTCCAGAACCCTGGCTTCCTTTCAACTCCTTAAATCCTCTATATCAGGCCTTTCTCTCAAAGTCCTCACTTTACTGGGGTTCCAGACCTCCTCATCCTTTGATTCCAGTTTGAATGGCAGTCAGAGGCTAGATTCCTGGCAACCCCATCCAATCGAGATCTTTATTGCTGGTCTGTTACTGCCTGCTCACCAAGACCTTGCAGTCTGTAGTACTGTATGATCTGCGTGACCACCTGTTGGCCACTCCTGCCTCACTGGACCGCATACCAGTGACTGAGGAGTGTTCTGTTCACTGCTATACCTTTAGGTTAGCACATGGCACACAGCTAAGTGTTTGTTGAATAGATAAAAGAATTAACAAGCTCATAGAGCCAGCAAGTGACCATGCTAGCATTTGACTCAGGTAGGTCACTAGATAGCCATCTTCCATCCTACTGTGTCACCTCTTCCTACGTCTGACTCCTTTCCTAGGCCCTAAACACATTTTTCTGTGGCTGCTTAAAATAAAACATTTTTTTTCTTAGATTTGAAAATAATGCATTATTCATGGTAAAAAAAAAGATGGAAAACATGGATGACAGTAAAAGAAAAGTAGGCTTGCAGAGTCCTATGCAGTACTATGAAAATTTTGTTTTTTTTAAGCCCTTATTTTGTGAGATTTGTAAATATTGATGTATACTTTTTGTCCTGCTTTTATCCTTTAAGATTATATCACAAACATTTCTTCAAGGAATTGTAAATTATTCAGAGCCTGGCATGGTAGTCTAGTGGCTAAAGTCCTCATCTCACATTTCTTGGGATTTCATATGGGTGCCAGTTCATGTCTCAATAGCCCTGCTTCCCATCCAGCTCCCTGCTTGTGGCCTGGGAAAGCAGTTGAGGACAGCCCAAAGCCTTGGGACCCTGCACCCGCGTGGGAGAGACCAGGAAGAAGCTCCTGGCTTTGGACTGGCTCAGCTGCAGCTGTTGCGGCCACTAAGGGAATGAATCAGCGGATGGAAAACCTTCCTCTCTCTCCTTCTCTGTGTATATCTGATTTTCCAATAAAGAATAAGTAAATCTAAAAAAAATGTTAATTATTCAAAAGATAAATTTAAAAATTTATTTATAATTTTGAAACAACTCAATGTATAGAAAAGGCCAGAATGCACTCACACCCATCCTTACCTTCCTCTCTGGAAAATAATTACTATTCTGCAGTTGGTGCACATTGTTTGCAGGCTTGTATATTTTTCTATGCATCTGTTCCTTTAATATTACATAACATTATAAATGGTCCCATTATATATACATAACCACTTATCCAGTTCCTTTCTGATGCAGTTCTTTTTTTTATAAAGATTTGTAAATTTATTTGAAAAGCAGAGTGAAGAGAGGAAAGAAAGGGTAAGAGGGAGAGGGAGAAAGGGAAGGAGTGAGACAGAGAGAGAGAGAGAAAGAGAGAGATTGATTGATTTTTCCATGTGCCGGTTCAAGCCGTAGCTGTTAGGGTTGGATCAGGTTGAAGCCAGGAGCCAGAGTCTCCAGCCAGGCCTGCCACATGAGTGGCAGGGCCCCAGTACTTGAGCCATCATCTGCTGCTTTCCCAGGTGCATTATCAGAAGCGCAGCAGCGGGGACCTAAAGTGTATGGCATGGGATGCCAGCATCAGTGACCTAAACCCTTGAGCCGTCATGCCAGCCCCTCACCACTCTTTTGCAATGTGGCTATAGTCGTAAATCACACTGCAATGGACATCTTTGAACATGTCTCTTTGTACAACTGGTGGAGGTGGAGGGAGCTCCCTAGACGTGTGTGTGTCAGAAGGACATATGTCTTCTAAGAAGGGCTGAGCAGCTCTCCAAAGTGGCTGCACTCACCTACATTCCCCTCAAATGCGCATGTGTGGGTTTCGCTCTATTCTCTGCTTCGCTGTTCTGATAGGACCTTTGATTAGTTTGCATTGTGCTGACCACTAATTTGATGGCATATTCCTTCTGCCTCTGTACATTCCTTACCTGTTTGCTTCTTTGGGTGTGCAGTTTTTCTTCTTGGCTTCTAAGTTTTCTTTGTGTATTCTTTTGTTTATATCATTCCTTGTTGTTCTGTGCCCTGCAAATGTCTCTTCCCAGAAATCTGTGCTGTGTCTTCACTGTGTTTACAGCCTCTTTTGTTATACAAATTTATTTATAAGGGCTGCCTAATTGCCCATTATGGAGATTAAACATTTACTTAACCTGTCTCCCATTATCAGATGCTTAGGTTGTTTCTAATTTTTCAATATTTTGTATAGTGTTGCCAGGAACATTTTTATGCATGAATCTTTTCTATTTAATTATTTTCTCTAATTGAATTCTTAGAAAGAAATTCCTGGTCAAACAATATAGACATCTTTGAGACTCCTCTGTGCAATTTTGAATACAGCCAGAAAGCCTCCCTCTCAGAAAGGCCACTTGAGTGTGACTTCAGCAATCTTTGGACGTCTCAGTGTCACTCTCGCATGGCCAATATTTATTAGAATTATAGTGGTTAAAGTCTTTTCTAATTTGAAAATAAAAAAAAATAGTACTTTATTATTTAGTATTTTTTTGTTATCACTAAAATTGAAAACTGTTAAGAGTATTGGTATAATGTTAGTATGCTAGAATGTTAGAACATTAGCGTTAGGCAATGTTAGGCCCCTTTGTGCCAGGAAACTGATACTTTGCTAGGTCAGAATGCGTCTGGACCATGGGAAAACTCCACTTCAGCGATAAATATGTTCATTGTTCCTCTGTGACCTTGCGAACAGTGTCACAAGCCTTATCTATAGAATGCACCCAGGAGCAGGAGGGCAGTGGCACAATCATCTGGTCTCATAAATGAGAATGATCCATAAAGATAATGTGTCTCGGGCCCGTCGCCGTAGCCTAGTGGCTAAAGTCCTCGCCTTGAACGCACCGGGATCCCATATGGGTGCCGGTTCTAATCCTGGCAACTCCACTTCCCATCCAGCTGCCTGCTTGTGGCCTGGGAAAGCAGTCGAGGACAGCCCAAAGCCTTGGGACCCTGTACCTGTGTGGGAGACCTGGAGGAAGTTCCTGGCTCTTGGCTTCGGATCAGCATAGCATCGGCTGTTGCGCTCACTTGGGGAGTGAATCATTGGACGGAAGATCTTCCTCTCTGTCTCTCCTCCTCTCTGTATGTCTGACTTTCCAATAAATAAATAAATCTTAAAAAAAAAAGATAATGTGTCTGGGAACAGAGTGGACTGTTTGTACATGGAAGCCCTAAAGATGACATGTCTGAAGTTTGTTAGTCTTTAAACTGATTGTTGCATTTGGATTTGTGTGGGCTATGATGCATGTAATGGCCAAAAGGGTCTGTATAATCTCTGGCTTTTCTCTGGTTCTGGGTCCGACGTCTCCTTGGCTGGCCTGTGTGCCCCAAGAACGGTCTGACCCCAGCATGCTGGAACAATAAACTCTGCTTGTTTTTGCATTATCAGTGAGGCTCTTTGTTGCTCACGGGAAGTTGACAAAACCTGGACCCTAAGAAAACTAAGATACTGAGACACTTGTATTTGTTCTGTTTCATATCTTTCCCTGGTTAGTACAGAACGGTTTAGTGCTCACACACAGAGCAGGAAGGCCTGGGTTCAAAG